TCCTCTTCTTTTCCTTGAACATTTGCACATAAGTACAAACTTGTACTACCAAAAGGTTTGTAATTTTCAGCTGTAAGACACTCATTCTTCAATTCATCACAACATAGTACAAGCAGTTCTATCCCATTCACTCTAAAAATACAGATCAGTGCCTTGGAACTTCACAGCACACCCACACAGTCCTTAATATCCCTTTTAGTTCTATTTTAGGTTTCTCCTTCTTCCACAGGCACATCTGTTCATTGGACAGAACGTGTCTACGTCCTCTGCAATCACATAGGCAGTTACAATAGTGCATCTTTACTCCTGCAACCAAGTGGCAGCTTTTGCTGTGCTGCACCAAACTTGATGCAGTATCTAAATTTGAAGGCCTTCTAATTTTCTTTAACTGCTTGTTGATAAAACTGAATTTTCATGGATCAGCTCATCTTTAACATAGGTTTCTGGCTGTTGCCTTTGATGGACTCACGGTCTCAGGCTTGCATTTGGTTCTCTGGAGCATCCTATAAATCAGACAGGAAAGTTCTGATATTAGTAACTGTGGTATTTCTTCAAGCCACTGTGACCTACATTGGCTTACTGGCTTGGTTAGATTTTTCATACATGCTTTTATCACATTTTGCTGCCACAGTTTCTGTAAGTCTTTACTTGCTGCATTACCTATCACATCCATTAAATACTTGTATAAGCACACATCTCGTCTGCCTGAAGGCACAGCAGGGTCAGGGTTAGCCTGGCAGGGATGAAACGTTATCTTACAAACGTGTACGATTCTTCAACTTAAAAAATATTGCTTTCCTTTACATACAGAATCTCCTCAGTTTATTCTTTTTAGGATAGTTTTTACAGTCAGCAGGATAGATACAAGAAACAAGGTCATCTATGTTGAGAGTGACTAAACCCTTCACTTTGCATCTCTTTCTCTCTAAAGAAGGAACAGTGTAGTAATTTTTGATATTGCCATCAACAGCTACAGAAAAAACCTCACCCTGTTAAGATCTGTAAGATAAACAAAGCTCTTTAGTATGAACATTTTAAGGACATCTAAAAACAGGTTTGTAATCTATACTAAAAAGCAGCAGTCAGCTATCCAATACCAGTTATTTTAAGTTAACACATCTAGAAGAGTGTTATTTGAAATATTTTTATAGACGTGCAATGGTGCAATTATGGTATATATTACCATACTGACACTGCAGATGCCAAACAGAATAGAAAGAAGAAACAAAGAGGTCTCTATACTAGTTACTTCTAAACGTTCATAGTAGGACTTAATAAAACCCATTTTAAATATCCCATTTTACATCTAGCTTTTCTAAGCAGCTCGATATTTTTGTGCCTCAGAAGACTACAGCTAAAACATCATGTACGGCTCACCTTCCCATGCTACAGTAAGTCACCTCTGCAGATTAAAAAAGGGCTATCCCAGAGAGCACGGTGACCCAGAAGCCAAAGATAAAGTGTTTACAATTTGTTCCAGACATCACCCATTTAGCTACACACAGCTCTGTATATTTACAGCCCTTTCTATTGCTCTGCTGAGAGTAGTAACCTCAATATGCCAAGAACATAGTGGGAACCTGCTAAACGTGGACTGAATTTACTCCGGTGTCTCATAGCTGCAATGGGTTTGACAAGTGCTGCACAGGCACAGTATGAGTAATACCATTTATAATCAGTTAAGCTAATCATCCTTATCCCCCTCCCATAGCCCCTGCTTCCCCAAGGACAGATAAAAGTCACCTTCTTTTGAGACACTACTTGGTTAGACAAGAGGTCCCACTACCCAGAAAGCATTATTTTGACCATTTTCAAGCTGTTTTGAAAATACAAAAGACAAAACGTAATAAGTGGATGTTTGCAGAAAGAACAAAGTGTTTGACATTATTTAAAAAAAAAATAAAAAATCTGACTGCCACTTAATGTCATTTTCTCTATAATCAGAGCCACGTTATATGTACTCTAAAACTAGCATTCAGCTTCCTAGCCAAAGCTAGGTTCTCAAAGTACTAAAAAAAGCCAACAAACCCCAAACCAACACAAAAAACCCCACCCACAAACCCCTGTGGTTTCTCTGACAATAACAGGAAGGTGTTCTCCAAGGCGCTCTTTATTCTTCTCACGTGGCTACACAGCCCCATCTGCCTGGCCCAGAGCCCTGCAGCCACCAAAGCTGTTTTCTGCTTCCTGAGCTGGTGCTTTAAGACACCAGACTCTGAAAAAAGCAGGTCTCTGCTGCTCAGGTTTTGAAAGCTAATTGCACCCTATTGGTCTAATCTAAATTAGGAGCCTATTTAACGCTCTAGCTGATTCTCAGCACTGATTGGACTCAGACGGAAACCTGAAGCCACTTGGAGCTGCTTGGAGCAGGACAGGTTGGGCAGGAAGAGAGAGGCAAATCCCTTGGCCTTCAAAGCACAAAGAGGGATTTAGTTGACTAGTTTTGGCCTTCAGTCTGGTGCTGCAGACAAGAATTTTGGATTTAAGCAAGCAGAACAGGTATTCATCCCATCTAACTTAATGGTTATCTAATGCTAGCATTCTGAATTCCTTTTGTAGATATGCTTCATTATCTTGCCAACAAAAAATAGAAACATAAAATGATTGAGGACACCAAGTGAAAAAATCCTACTCCTCCGAAGTCCCTCTAGGGCCTGTTTTAGGCACCAGGTGCTTTCTTCATTACTCTGGTCTAAGCCAAAAACTGTAAGCACTGCTAATCAATAGGAGGTCAGAGTTAAGAAAACCGTTAAAGGAAGATGATTTAAGATAAGAAATTCCAGATGCCAGTTCTGCACCGAAGCAGGCTCATTTTTATCTGTTTCTTTTCCAATGTCACCTGCCTCAAGTGACTTCATGCTTGGAACAAAAGAGCATGGAGGAACAGCAGCAGGTCAGCTGTAATAGTCTGGTCTGAGCTACTGCTTCACGCTGACAAAAGCAAATCCTCCAGGGAAGGCAGTGAGGCAGAAGCAGCAGAGTATAGAAAGATATATCAGCGTGCTCCAGCTCCGGGAACTCTTGAAAAAGTACTAGATTAGGTCAGAACAAAGGTCAGTTTTGTTTTTATTCTTTCTGACAAGACACCAGCAGCAAACAGGAAACCGTAAATTGTGTAAGTATAAAACATTCCGAGACTGTTAACATCCCTATATATTTTACAGCTAAAGGCAGTCAGTAATTTAGGGTATTTCTTAATGGAGACTGCATTTAAGCTATCATTTCAAAATAACTATCACGTTCCACATATACATCCAATCCTTTGGACCCTATGACCCTGAAAAAAGTCTCACAGCAGGGAGTTCCACTACTGTGTTACACAGTGTAATGAAATAAACGTTTGAAACTTGGTGCCTGATCACTTCATTGCAATCTTAATTCTTGAAAGCTATCAAACATTCCCAAATTGAAGTCATGGACAATGTCAAACTGGTCGTCTGTCACGTTTTAGTTTTCTATCTTTTTTTTTTTAAGAACATCATTGAACACAATATTAGAGAAGACGAAAAACCCCAATTTTAAGTAGTGACATAATATTTTTGTTTGTTTTGCTCTCCATTTATTTTTTTTTTATTTACTGCTCTTGAACCTTAGCCTAGCATTTGCAGAGAAGCAGGCTGGCAGCAAGATTTTCTTCCTTAGCAGAGTTTAGAACTCCTCAGTCTTCATTGTTACACACAAGATGTACAGTGATTTGCATTTATTAACACTGTTACACCTGGTGCTTCTGCAGTTGGCTATTCAATATCAAGAGGTTTCTGAAATTCAGTTAAGGAAGCTTCAGATTTAACTAGTCTGAATATATAGTGCTTTCAGCAGAAAATTACCACAAATGTTTTTAAGACTTGCTTCAAATTACTGAGTCCAAGACCTTCCTATGTATAAAGTCCAATATTTCTCCCCATTTTGTAGTTTGAGTAGTTCACTCAGATCTTTCACTTTATTACCTTATTCTTGTTTTGGAATTCTTGTGAAAGTAGCAACAGAAGACCCCAGAATGACCTTCTGGATATGACTGCTTTATGTGAGCTTAGAGGGGGGTGTGTGCACGTGCCTCTTCTTTGCACCCAGTTATATATTTAAATGTAAACTGGTATTAATTAAGAATATGTAATGGTATATTTGGATTTACATTTCCTATATTTGGAAGAAAACCAAGTTCTGATGAGCAACAGGAAGAGCTGAAAATAAAAACAGAGGCCAGCTGGTCTTTTCTTCTAAGTGTGAACATGTTTTATATCCTGCCTCCGAAAAATGAAAAGTTTGACTACACAAAGTGGCCCATATAAAAGGGTTACCATCATCACCATGAGCCTGCAGGGCTTTCTACTGTTCTCCTAAGGTACCTACAAGGATTTTTAGGAGAACATGACTGGAACCCTACAGAGATTTAAGGATGGAGTCTCTAAAGTAACTGAACAGCTTTAGGTGCAAAATAGGTGCCAACACACTTTGCTTAAAGACCTGACAGTTCCAAGTATACATGAGGGCTGATTTTTAAGCATGTAGGAAACTGTGCCCTCTGGATTTGCCAGCAGGTTGAGATGCCTGAGAAGATAGGACTGTGATCCATGTTAGATATATTTAAAAACCTGTGCATAACTATAATTACCATGTTAGGCACCCAAACTGCAGTTAGGAGAAACAGTGCAGTATAAGCCTGTCACAGAAAGAGACTTTCAAGATCAGATTGGAGCATATTAAAATATATGTACATTCCCATTTTTAAAACATACGGCCATTCTCTATTTTAATGTAAGAGCAACAGACCTATCACTCTTTAAAAAATATTAAGTATGAATGTTTCAAGACTGAACTACCCACCACATAGCTTTTAGCTTGCATCTCCTATAAAACCTATATTGTATATAGGCTATATGATACTATAAAGGGTACAGCAAGTGACTGAAACTGTGTGTAAGAGAAGATCATCACCTTCATATCCTTTTGGAAAGCACACAGATGTACTGTTTGGTCCAAAATGATTTCACAAACAAAGATTATGTGACAGTAGTTTATTATATTACTGCATGAAGAATAAAAAGACTGGTACAAGGCTTAAGGCTGAAATTCAACCCTATGCAGAGGAGCTAGCGCAAGACTCATATACTGCTAACGTACTACTAAAGCACTGCTTCCAACAGGCAATAAACAGGCCAATATATAAAGCATCAGTGGTGCTAACAATGATCCTAAAAGGAACTCCTCTTTGGGAAAAAAAAAAATAAAAATCTTAGTAAATTCTCTTATGAAAGATTTCACTCCCAGGGTTTGAGTCTAGATACTAACTGCAAGAAGCATTTTCCCAGATATTTTTCTGCATTTAAGCATAGAAATACATTTTTCTCTTTAAGAAGCTGCCTTGAAGGGTGAAGTTTTGAGAAAAAAAGTATCAAAAAGAGAGAGGTTCGAGGGGCAGGGTAGAACTACAACATGATTTTCAATAAAAGTCTTCAACACCAAGACAAACTTGTATTACAGATAACTTTGTAGCACTTTACAAAATGTACACTATATATATTACATATGCATATAAATCAATATCATTTCAATCACTAAGTTCTTCCTCATCACTGAAATAAGCACTTTTCTTAATCCTTGGACGTTTCGAATCATCTGAAATTGAAGATTCCCCTGCAGTCTGTGTCCACCTTTGTTGCTCTTCCTCAATCTTGGCTTGCTACAATGAAAGAAGGAAAAGCATTAGCTAGGATTAAGAAAAGTTAAGATGCATTGTAAATAATAATGCTAATTATTCATATGCATTGAATTATTTCACAAGTTCAAGAATCTAAAGTATTTATCTCCATTTCCTCATAAACTGCGCAATGAATGCACTAGAAAACGTTTCTCACAGGCAAACAGTAAGTTTTCAGCACTAATGCAGGCCACAGGGAAAACCCTCTCTTTTCAAAGAGAGGAACTTTGCACGTGGCAAACAAAATACACAACTATAGAGCAGGTGAGATCCGAAGCAAAGAATGAATTGCATTTTAAATTGATGTCATTGAATCAGTTTTGTTCCACTAACAAGTCTTCTATCTGCTGTCTTTTGCAGTCATTCGTTCAGGGAATGAATGTCTTCAGGGATGTAACAGTTACTCAACTAAAGGTTTAAATAAATGCTTCCCATTTCTACTGGGAAATACACTATCCCAGTGAAAATCTTTGGGTGGTGAGAGAAATGGGAATGTTCCCTGGCTTGTTTACATTTGTAGGTTTTACTTTGTAAACTTATAGGGTTTTCTGAATGTGTGCGTGTGTATAACTGTGCATATTTGCATCATTATTTTGGACTACACCATGTAAAAGTTTTGCATTCATTACAGCCATATTCAGGACAAAGTTATCGCAGAAACTCTGAGTGATTTTTTGGGGAGACAGGAGCACACGGGGTACAGCTGAGGACTAGGGAGCCATGAAATTTGAACACCAATTCAGGCTTGCTCTGTGTAGTGAAGCAAAAGCCTGAAAAAGCCATATTAAAGAAGACAGTAATACAGCTCTCAGACTATCCATCTACATAACAAAATCCGCATTAAATATGTTTTGAGAGAAAAGTTCTATTAGAGACTGTGATGGACTCTATCAGGCAAAGGGAGTGCTCCAGAAATAGATGTTGTTTCCTAGTGAGTGAGGGCAGAGGATGTACCTGATCATCGATACATGACTATTTTTCTAGCTGCTCAGTTAACATATTTAGGAGGGGTTTGTGGACCAAAAACCTAATGGAGCATCACAGCAGAGATGAGAGCAAATTAAAGAACAAAGGAGCTTGAAGGAAAGAAAGAATTGCAATGCAAAACCACAGCAACAGTGAAACAGTTAAAAAAAAAACCAAACCAGACCACAAAAATTCAAAAACTGAACACGCCTACAATATGAAGAAACCAACAACAGTCACCAACTACTATCAGGCATGAAGGCCCTAAGTGCTACAGAATGGACAGATTTACGGTTATCTTAGAGCTTTTGAAAAGCAGCTGAAAAAAGGGAGTTGTATTTAAATAATAATAAATAACAAAGGCAGAATCACAGAATGATATGGGGTTGGAAGGGACCTCTGGAGATCATCTAGTCCAACCCCCCTGTCAAAGCAAGTTCACCTAGAGCAGGTTGCACAGGAACATGCCCAGGTGGGTTTCGAATGTCTCCAGAGAAGGAGACTCCACCACCTCTCTGGACAGCCTGTTCCATTGCTCTGCCACCCTCAAAGTGAAGAAGTTCCTCCTCATGTTTAGATGGAACTACACACAGTGCTTCAATTTTGTACCTGAAAAGCTATGGCTTGGCTGAGGCTATCTAGAGCAGGGTCTTCTCCTTCCTCTTCACTTTCTTCTTCCTCCTCACTTCACAGTGCAGAGAGAGAAAAATACATAGATCTTTATTTAAAGTGTTCAGTATGAAAAAGTTGCCTAAAAGAAGTATTAACATGTAAATAAATATACATACATTTCTTCTGGCTCAACTATTTTTTTTCTCTTCTTCTTTTCCTTTTTCTTTGGTGGCTCCCGCTCTCCTAGCATATTTTTAGGACACGCATAACTTAAGTGTCCTGCTTCCTTGGAGAAAAAGAAATACTGCTTAACAGAGACCATTACAAACAACTATATGTTAAAACATATCATGAGGAAAGTTAATGTAACAGTTCACAGGGAAAAAAAAATGGAAGCAATTAGTAAGATAAATTAAATGCTGAATTAGCACACAGAAGACAAACTCTTCTCTCTAAGCTTGCCATGGAAACATGGAGATTGGTGGCGATACGCATGTTTAACTGCAAACTGAGAACAAGCTATGAGCAAAGGAGATTTTCTTTGGATGCTGCAATAGCTGAATACACTACAGCACAGTTCATGTTCGAGACAAGATATACACCTCAGCATTAACAGTATAATAAATAGAAGTGAGTCAATAATTTTGCTCAAAACTGTTATCAATATAAATCAAGTTTGTATTTGATATTAAATACTATCCAAATTGCAATCTCCGATGTTATTATATCAAGGAGAAGTGAGGAATTGCCTAAAATTTAAGACATACTTGGTCTGTGTAAAACCAGTTGTTTCTAATATTTAACTGCCAACTATATCACGATCTTCCAAAGACATAGCAAAAGCAGGTATTTTGAAGCAAAGATTAGGAGTTTTTCCTTCTCATACAGCTTTATACTGATACTTGGCTCTGTCTGCTCATCAGCTTGTTAAGCAGCAACTATAAGCACATATTTCCCTCCAACCCCCAAATCCCAAATAAAAGACAAAAGGGGTGTTATCATTCTTGAAAATGGTACAACTGCTATAACTGCTATGCAAGTTGATAGCATCAACAGAAAAAAAAAATATATTTTAACACCATGGGGAGGATTAGGAATGGCCAAATTGAAGAAAAAACAAGCTGGAATACAGTAGTTCCTTTTTGGTTTTACTCACCCCACATTCGTAACACTTAGACTTATCGAAGTAGTTACGCCTGCGAATGAATTCTGCTGCTCTTCCATTATCAATGGCAATACTTGCTTTTATTACTCTTCCAAATAACTACAGCAAATTGGAAAAAAAGGTAAATATTTTGGGGCTGTAAACCCAACCCTCCTACCGTAACAACTTTACACAATTTACCTGTTTGTTATTAAGTGCTCGAGAACAGTTTTGTGCAGATTCTTTATCCAAAAACAAAATAAAGGCAACTCCTTTGCTCTTCCTGGTGTCTTTGTCTTTCATAATAGTAACTCTGAAAACATATAACCACATTATACATCCACTGAAATTACTTCAGACATTTTTTCCTTAAAGATCTCCGTGGGATCTTACCTTTGTTATACAGCAAAGAGGAAATAAAGTATATTTTAAAATAGAAAGGCAAATTAAACAGAAATTCAAAGGAACAGCTAAGCAGGCCACATGTTTACAGGTAGAGCGGAGAAGATTTTAAAAAAATATGGGGTCTTTCTGGGTTCAGTATCATTCATTATTCCCTTGGATGACTTGAAGAGCAGAGGACATACTCTTCAGATTTGCAGACAACATAACTGGAGGAAGCTGCACATACTGCAGGTGAAATTAAAATTCAGGAGTAATCTTGACAATTGCTGTCATTGCTGAAAAACACAGTGTACTGAACTGCATCCAAACAGAGTAGTCTATGTTTCTGTAGGACTAACCAGCTAAACAGGTTCAAGATAGGAAATGGTAAGTGTATGCAGTGTTATTCTACAAATATCACTAACTGGAATGCAAACAAGTTATGAATACATGTCTTATCTTACATGACGTACAAAGTTAAATCTTCAGTCTAACATTGGAATCAACAGCTCCAGCAGCATATTGAGAAATTCAAGAAAGATTTAGACCCAGTAGACAAAGAAAACAACAAAGAAAAAGAATGACAAGAGGTGAAGGTGGGGAAAGCCCACACAAGCTCAATTGCTTCAACCTTAATGTCAATTGTATTTAGCCCTAAAAATAAGAAATCATTGGGAAACAGGATGCCAGTCTGCACGTACATGAAAGTAAAACTACATGTTAAAAAGCAGGGAATAAACTCCTCACTGTGTTCATCACAGGCAGAACAAGGTTCACCTATAAGGCAAACCAAAATTGCAAGAAGTAATAGGACATTAAAAAAACAAACAAAAAAAAAATCCAAACTCCACTTCAATGCAGAAGGCATACCAGAAAACCTGTGTAAGTAACAGGTGACCTACACAGTAAAAAGTGTATAAAATAAAAGCTCAATAAAGCAAGCCCAATTTCCTCCCAAATACATGCACAGAAGGTAAGAGATTAGAACATTTTTCTACCAAAGCCTGTTGGACAAGAATGTGTCCAATTGAATGCACTGAGTTGAAGTATCAATAAAACCGACCTTAGAACAATTCTATTAATTCTTTCACCAAGTTACTCTTTCAAGAGTTGACAGAACCCTAATATGACTGTGAGGCTTCTAATTGGGATACTGAGCATTCCAGTTAATAAACACAAGCATAGAAAGAAAAAAGCGTGACAAATCACGTGACAAGTCAGCAAGTTCTTGGAGCCCTAGGAAGTCTGATTTCTCACTGAACAAACTGAGCTGAAACCATAATAGTCAGGATATATTGGGGTGGGAAATACAGTATGGAAGAAAAGTCAGCATGATTTTGCTGAGTCAAGAAACACTTCAAAAGAAGTCTGTTAAAGCTTAATTAAATAAGTTAAATCTGACCTAGATAACATTGCAAAGCTTTCTGCAAAGATTTTTAAAGTCCCTGAACAAAGACCCTACAGAAATCCAACTAATATTTGAAAAGATTTTTCTTTAGAATTAATAGCTAGTTACAAATAGGAAAACTAATCCTTCCTAGCCTCAGTTTCACAACGAAATGGGAATACCAGTAGAATTCCACAGTTTGTATCTGCACTGTTTATAGTCAGGTCAGCTTACAAAGGGGCAAAGTATGGTAGTATTTCACACATTCTGTGTATTCTGTGACTCTTTGCATTTGGTTTAACTTCTGGCAGTGACTAGACAAGATGTCAGGAAAAATTAGGTATCGGTAAGTGATTTTTTTTGCAAAAAAAATACATAGGTGGAGGAAAACAGTAACTACGCAGACAGAATTGCAAGCTCTAAATTAGCTATTTTCACACAGGATGCAGTGCAGGATTTCTTCTGCACAGGCATCTGAAAACACCATTACTATTGTTTATGACAATCAAAAAAAGAGTAACTAAAACACTAGAAACTATTAATAAAGGAAAAAAGAGAGAATGCTGCTACAACACCTTTAAAATAAGCAATGCACCCTACAGACAGTAGTTCATACAATTCTCATCCTTCTATCAAACAAATTGAAAAGCTGAGACAGTAGGAGACCCCAACCCCCAACACCCAGAGTACAGAAACATTAGCAAAGGATAGCAGGGAGGTCAGAAGTGTCAAATTCATGGAGAACAGGCCCCTCAATGGATATTAAACACCAGCACTACTACAACCTTTGCTCAGGATTTTTCTAAATTGGTAATTCAGCACTTGACTAGAACAGGTCAGACACCCCACCTTGGAAACAATAGAGACTGTAGATGCCCAGATGTATTGGTCACTGCATGTCTGCCAGAGCCCTACGTAAGGATTTTCCTCTCAGTCAATTTAAAACAAATGTTTTTCTAAAGTTGCAATTTGGCATTTCCTGCTATTTGTCACCTGACATACTACCGAGACTTCAAAAACTTTTAATTTAGCTCTGTATCTCACAGATTATCACAGCAGCTACTAAAAGTTAGAGTAGATATTTGCTGGTATAGGGTTGAAAGCTGAAGTCTTGGGTCTTGTTATTCTGACCAGTTAAAAAAATAAAGAAACCAAATGAAACAGCAAATTCCTTCCTGTGGCATTGCTTTCTATCATTTAAACAGAGGCAGGTATTCACAAGTATCGTTCATGAATACGCCACATACTAAAAGCCATTACTATAAAGCCTTACGTCTGATCTTAAATGTAATGCTAAGCAGTCAAAATAACAAATCCCTCTAAAGCCACAAATAGTGGAATTGTACATTGCAATTGTGGGAATAGTGACATCTAGTTCACAGAAGTAGAAGCTCCCAGTTTTACACTTATCCACTTGTGGCCCAGGCAGTGTTCAGGGGAAGGGGAACAACACTTACCAGCAGAATATTGTTTCAACTATTTCAGAGAAAAGACCATTGGTATGTAACAACATTCAACTTGCTCTTAAGAAGTGGTTAGCAAAACTGGTACCCAAGGCAAATATTCTTACACCGTGTAACTGCAAGAACTTCCAGTTGTTAAATTAAATTTCTACTTTATTAAAAATGAACAGGACTTCAATACAGCTCCACATTCATACTTAAATTATAAAAAGCACAAGACTTTCAAGTGAAGCAAAGACATCAAATATATAAAATGAAAGCTACAAAAATAGTAGGCCGTATCAGGTCACTTACTTGACAACTTTGCCATACTTTGAAAATATCTGAAATATAAAACAAAAAAAATAATAAAGAGATTTACCAGTAGACAACTGCATTTCATTAGTAATAGATTTATCAAGACAGACATTTCTAAGTAAGAGACATAGATCAGTATTGTATTTACACTCAAAATTGTTGTCAACAAGTTCAATCTGCATACCACAGATCTTAAAAACTTACCCGGTACAGATCGTTGTTTGTCAAAGCAAAGGGTAAATTGGACACATACACTGTGCTTTTGCTTGGTGCCAACCCACCACTCATTTTTCTGATGAAAGGAGAAAGAGAGAAGAATTAAACTGTATTCAACAAAGCCAACAGTTATAAAACAGTTGCAAGACTTTTTAAAAGATGTTTTTCAAATTTAGCCCAGATGGTCACTACAAAATTGCAGGAAAGCATAGCTTTCATTTCCCTTTCATTATTTTACATGAAATTAGCGTTTGCCTTCACGTGCTACAGAAGACATATGTTCTTTCCCCCTCCCCTGGATGGATCCAAACCATGTTTTTGCTGTATGCAAGTCAATTTGTAATAATAATTAAAAAAAAAAAAAACAAACAGTCAAGTTAGTTTACTTAAAAGAAGCCTCTGATGATTTGTACAGTAAAGAAAGGTTTCGGTCCAGAAAGAAACAAGTAATCACCATTTATTAAACATTCTGGCCAATATCTGAAATTAATGATGTTTGTTCAAGTAGCTGCATATTCTGTATACAAATTTGAGTTCAGCTGCATTTGACACAGACTAAACTACACTCAGTTAAAGGGGGATGGTGGGGGTGCTTCCCTAAACAGAGTCCTAATTATTGGGGTGAAAACAGATACTGCATTGTCTTTAATAACGTATCTCGGCTGCTAAAGCAGCAAGAATTTCCTCTTGTATCTATCAGTCAGGCTTCTACACTGCTCTGGGACTGCAGCTTGCAGAGCTGATCACAGACAGCATCTCCCCTAGAGGCACCCCCTCTCCTCCTCCTGATCAAGCAGCTCTTACACTGGCAGGAACCAGGGAAATCTCAAAGCCATTTTAATTACAATCTCTTTTAAGCTCTTGAAACAAAGTAGCCAAGAATACGCCTAGAAACAATGAATCAATTCAAACACCTGGTTATAACTGCATACAGGTCTTCCAGTACTAGGTAAAGAGTAATTGAACTAACTTGAAAAAGAACAGCCTATGTTTTTCCTCATGTTTGGACAATTCCCAAAATTTTAAGTGATGCTAAAGTCTGTGCAAAACAATTCTTCCCTCCAATCCATTCTATAGTTATAGCTTGGTCCAAGAGTTAAGTGAATAAAATTTAAGATCAGAATAAAGCACAGCCCTGATGAGAGGGCACGTCAAATAGTACAGCAAAACCATTCCCTACCTACTTATCCACTTTCCTGCACCCTTATTCCGGCTTCTTGGCACCTATAGCCAATTCCTAACTGAGGATCAAGCCATTTCTTCAGCAAGATCAACTCATTTTACAAATGCAGACAAAAGCTGATGAAGGGATGAAAGAAACCAAGTATTAGACATCAACATCCATCATAGTTCCCGGCAGTTTCTTAGGGGCCCTTTTGGGTAGTGAGTTTGAGCAGATTGCCTGGCCCAGCGCCAACCAAGTAACTAATATCACACGCTAATCCGGCTGTGGTTATTTTCTGGCATTTCATGATTCAGTCATCTGAAGACCTGACATTCCCAGTAGAGGCTGATTATCCAAGTGTTTTTGCTTCTCTCTCCTGCAAGCTTACTGTATCACAATTCATTCGAGCGGCAATTTCCAACTGATTCAATTTTGAGTTCTTCCATGTTCAGAGGCTGTATTTTTTTGGCATGAGCAGAAATGGCAACATAAAGGTTAAGCAAATGAAAACAGAATAAATTTGCAATAAAGGCCACACGTTGCATCTGGTGTTACGCAGACGGGATTCATTATCCCAGATTCCTTGCTGCTTGGCATTAGTATCCTTGACAAGCCCAACCAGACTGAGCTGGCAACGTGCCACACGGATAGATGGCCCGAAGTGCAGTTATCCAGATGTACGGTGGATACAAAGGATTCGGTAGGAGCCACCGTAGTGGTGCCAATATATTGCAGCAGCGGAGGAGAAAGCAGCCGAGGTGAACCTCACGTGGCTGCAGACAGCAATTTAACTCTGCCTGAAAGACAAGAGAAGCGAGAGCGCCTTGTAACAGGAGACCAAGCAGGCCCCAAATTAACAAAGGCCAGTGAGGATGGCACGACCGGAGAGCAATCAGCTTGTGTGTTATGCAACACCACAGCACAAGCCTCCAAAGAGAGGGTGATATGTCCCGTGAAGATTACTACAGGCATGATAGCTCAGTCAATAGGAAATTATTAATGAACGCAAGCTACAGAACTGCCATTTTCAGCAAATATAAGTGAAATAGTCTCACTCCTCCAACTGCCCAAATATTCTTAGTAATTTATATTGTTTAATACCGTTATGCCAGGATTTCTTACTTTTAACGTCTGACTCGCTAGACAGGCACAACTTGAAGAAAAGAGGAATTACAGTAACTGTAAGGCTATTGCCATGCTCATGTTCAAGACAGCAAAGGTTCAAATTTACCGCTCCAGGAAAGAGTATTTCCCCAGATCTGCAGGAGGACTTTCTCTTCTAAATACCAAAGGGTCATTGGGATGGTTTACATATATCAGATACACCGACAAGTTTCCATAATGGCAACATTTGGGCCATTCATCTATCTATTTAAAAGCCTGGTGGTCCTTACTAAGACTTCTGCAGAACATTAAAAAATAATATTCTACCAAAAGCAATCTCTCAAAAAGCTTGAGCATGTTAAAATGCAGATTTCTGGTTATCTGTTGGGAATACAGTGGCATAAATGTGATTTTAGATCCAACTACTGGCACAATTCTTCCCACACCAATAAACCTTAACAGAACATCATGTGTCAATTTTAATTGTGCTATAACCTGCTGTATTCTTTTCTGCTGTAACATTAGTCTTTCGTTTGTTTTTTAAACCACCATGAAGCCCCCGTGTGGATACCAAGTACCAATACCATGTAAACAATAGCTCCCTCCCTCCCTCTTCATTTATGGATGCCAACCTTGCCCTAGCAGCTTCACATTTATTGTTTTTTTTTCTAGCTGGGGGGGTGGGGGATGGTAAAACAAAGCCAACTCCAGCTTTAAGCTAACTCTCTAGATGAGACATCTCATCTCAAGGCTCATCATTACAGAGCTCAGAGTCCTTTTGCTTCAGGAACTTTCTAACTTCATAGAGCCGTCCAATAAGAGTTTAACATTTTCATCACATTCTCCTCGATCACCAGTCTCTCTGCTTTATAGGTTTTCATTTCACAGGCTAACAAAAAAAACCTACCCATAACACAAGAATATCCCCAAAACATCTGAGCTTTCTACTTGCTGCAGGGGACTCATCATTGGGTCATGGATCTCCCCAACAAATTGAAACATTTCTGTTTTATACTGAATGCTTTTAGGGGGCTTCCCTGATCTTCTGGGTATTACCTGGTGCTTTAAAGCTGGAAGCCAGTACATTATCTCCATGGGGTTGAACACAACTCCCATTAATGCAACAGCTTCTCTGTAATATTAATGCCGCCTTCATTTATCATTGTCATATATTAACTTTCAGGATGGAGTTGTCCCTCATTACTGTGACTTCTTGAATTCAATCTTTGTCGTCTTTTCCAACAGCTTGAACTAAAAGAAGCCATTCTTTGACAAGAGTCATCTGTCAGTAATGATTAAGTTTCCTGCAAAATTTATTGGGTACACAAGTATGTTTTGCTTGAATCCAACAGGCTTAATGCAGCAGCTGTCACTCATGATGAGAACCTCATAAGAGAAGACAATGATCAATTTCAATAATTGGCTTCTCTACTCTGTCCCAGAACATATAAGGACCCCACCAATCAAGTTCAGATGCCTCTGAAGCGTCAAGTAGAGTCTGACCTTACTGATATTTTCATGACTTATCATGAATATCAACATTTCAGCTTAAGCACAAACTTTTGTGTTTGTTTGTTTTTAAGTACACATCAGCAAGGTCAGATTTGTTTTAAATTAAAGTATGTATAAACAATGTGTGAGTAAGTTACTCAAGACACGGCTTACTCAGGCCGACTCATTTGAGTTATTCCATCTTGATCCTTAAAACACCATATTTTATCTTTGATTTAACAGTATCAACAGAACTTAGACCCAAATCAACAAACCATTAGTTGTGGCAAGAGCTCGCCTCGAGCTTATAATCCAAAGTCTGTGGTAAAGTAGAAAACCAAACCCATATTCTCCTTGGTCCCAGACAAGGCTATTACCTCCTGCTATAATTCTGTCCTACATAAGAGGCAGGTAATAAGCTATTTGAGCATAATTTATTTTGTGTCTACATAGTCACTTAAATAGTACAAAACAAATATTAAACAGGATTAGGATTTGGTAAATAAAGCTGATGCTCTCAGCAGAAAGAGTACAAGAGTCTTTCAATCTGCCCAAGCTAAAGATGCACACAAAAAGGATTCATGGTTTGAATCAAACTACTCTTAGGTACTGACCTAACTACAAAAACTCTGGGACAATAAGACTGGGCAAACAGGCCACCTGCAGGAACTACAGCAAGAGCTTCAACAACACGGTTCTTTTCGATGGGAATGACAGCACAGTCAAGATGTGAGAAGAGCTGCTTGGTTCCACCTAGTCTCGCCCAGAACTACACCCAGGTAACTCACTCAGTGACGCCCCTTCCTCCCCACAACCCAGCAGAGACGAGCAATTCCGTTTCAGATCTCGGCAGGCACAAACCGACACTCAGGCAGGAGACCCGCAGGCTGCTCAGGAGCCTCCATGCGTTGTACTGAAGCTTTTCGCGGTCACCAACATCCCCCGCTTCCCCGGCAGCCCCAGAAGGGAGGCCAACAGCCCCCTCGGCTGCAAACAACCGCTCCGGCCGCCGCCCAACACCGGCGGGGCCGGGCCGGGCGGGGGCTCACCCACCCACCTGCTCGAGGAGACGCGGCCTACTCAGCCGCACCGGCCTACTCGCTCACGGCGGGGCTCAGCCCGCCCGGCCGCCCATGGTGCGACGCGACACCGGACGAAGCGAAGGCGCAGGCCCGGGCGGGACGGGGACGGGCCCACGGGACACCCCTCCCGCAACTCCGCCGCTCCAACCTCCCTCCGGGCCCCGCGGCGCTCTTCCGCCGACGTGCAGCGCCCAACACGGGCCCCGGCCAATAGGCGGTGGCCATGGCTGAAGGAAGGCGGGCGTTTCCGGCAACGTGTGGCGCGCGCCGGAAGCGGCGGGAGGCGGCGCGGTGCCGGACGGGGGAGCTGCCTGCCCCGCCGTGGGAGCGGGCGGCGGGTGAGCGGGGCCGGCGGCGGGCGGTGGCCGGCGGGGAGCCGGTTGTTTCTCGTCCCCCTTCCTCAGAGCGAACGCCACGCTTCGTGGCGTCGGAGCCGATGGCGCGGCCCGCGGGCTCCGGCACGGCGGCCCTGTGAGGCGGTCGGCGTTGCGGGGCGCGGGAAGGAGCGGAGCGGCGGCTGAAGCGTCCGTGAGGCTCGTCCCGGGAGAGGGGAACCCCCGGGGGTGAGGGCTTTGGGAGCGGAGCCCCCGTGGCGTGGGGCGGGATGCCGGGCGCCCCCGGGTTGCTCGGATGTTGGGGTGAACGGCAGCGGCGGGGCGGGAGGAAGGATGCGCTCCGCTGGGCGGGCGGCTGCTCCGTCGGCACCGAGGGTGGCTTTTGCAAATCTTATCTTTTAGTCTTTTTTAGTGTCCGCGCCTGACGGGAGACTTGGGTTTCCAGTTTCATTTGCGTTTTTGCTTTGAAGGGAAAGATGTTACTACTCCTGGAGAGTGATTTTAAACTTTAACAACTAGTAATGAACATTGGGAGGCTATATACACTGTAAACACTTGAAGTGAGGCATCTTGTGGGTATGATGGTGTAGCGTAGGTATCTTTGTTTCTAGAGAGATAAATAGGACAATAGTGTGTCCCTTAGCTAATGTCCGGAATAAATTTCTACACTTAACCTAACAACAGGCTGTCCTGTAATATATTTAAAGTCTTTATTAGTACTTAAACACTTTAGGTCTACTCTCCATGGCTCTTTGTTCTCACTCGTATTCGTTTAGTAGGCTCTTTACCGTGGGTTAGAGGTTTTCATGGATAGTCTTACAATAATTCTTTGTCTGGTGCGTCTAGAGCTTCAAGGGAACAAAGACTCTGTCAGAAATATACAAGAAGGTGTGAAAGTCCACAGGACCTCTGCAGGCAACCAGTAGGGTTTGATACATTTGTTTTCCCTGGATGAAACATTCAGAGTTGGTTGGTACTTTCAAGTGTAAACGTTGAAAGCATTGAAGTTTTGCCCTGTTAAGACACCAGGGTGGTGAGCTGACATATTTTGTTGTCAAAAGGTTTGTGCTGCAAGATGGAAAGACACGGTGGGGGCTGTGATCCATACAGGTGTTTGCATTGATGCTGCTAGCAGAGCAGCCCCATCAGCCTGGCAGAACATTCTTTTGGTAGCACTGACACTGATGAAGGATGGGATGTTGGTAACTGCAGGTGTTCAGGCAAAGATAAGCGCTAATGCATCAGTCACTGTACTCATGTAACCCCCAACACATTGTCTCCCTTTCTTTTCCTTCCCAGTGATATATTAGAATGATGTGGTAAGAAGAGCAAACCAGTAGGATTGTAAATCCTCATCATAATGCTGCTGCTGTTAATAATTTTATTCAGCTTATGCATTTCTGGCCTTTTTTCTTTTTGAGGTAGGAGTTAATTTGACTTTTGTGGTCAGTGCTCTCTTAAGTTTTGGGTTTTTTTCCTTTTTTTTCTTTCTCTTACTTTAAGTCAAAATTATTTTGAACAGATCAGGAAATATTGGAAGAAAGCCTTTTCCTTCAGGCTATTTGGTATCTAGATTTAATATGCCTAGACTTGTTGCAGTCATGCTTCTAATTGATTTTGAAAATCTTATAGCCTAATACTTGCTATTAGGAAGAGAGGGATTCTCTCTGTATCCCCGTTTTTTCTCGGTGCCTTCCTCACAGTAGTTTATGTACTGTCGTGGCAGATTTTTCTCTCTGCTCTTGCACTTCTGTGTTTTCATCTTAACAATAGAGGTCTGTGTCAGTGTGTCTATTCAGTGTTTTCTGCCTGTCCCAAGTATGGGGGAAGGAGGAGAAGGTTACTTTTTTATTCCCAAACTCAGTTTTATCTGTCTTGCCTCCCTTCCAGTAAGAGATACTGGAATATCTTTAAAGCACTATCCAATACAGATTCTAGTTGTTGGAAGCAAAAGTAGTGTTTTCTATGTTTCTTTTTGTCCTCAAAGCAGCAATTGTAAAATTTGCTATGTTGTTTCTAAAAAGTTGCAGTTCTCTAGGTCTTACAAGTACAGAAGCATCTAAGCGTTTTTTGAGATCTTTCCAAAATGCGAGAGAGACAGAACTGGCCCACAGTTGTCCACCTCTGCTGTTTGTCAAAGCAGCAGTATAAAACCAGATGTATCCCAGTAGCAACAGGGTTACTGCAGCTGCCTGCCTCTGCACTGTACAGCACAGCATTAATTTTATGCTTTGTTCACATACAGCAAGATGTAGCCATCTGGGTTAGAAAGCTGTATGTTTTTGACACAAAAAAGTAGATTCTGCAGAAGGTTGATAGCACACACTGCAAATTCATGGATCCTGGAGAAGTAGATATTTCTAGCCGTGATGAAAGTTAATGTCACAAATAAGTGTAAACAAGAACTGTGTACAAAATATTGCCGAGTCCTGGAGTGCTTTTGCAAATGTGTCAGCTTTTTTTAGCATATATTATTTAGAAAGCAAAAAAGAATAAAAAGTTAATGATTGATAAAGAAAACCCAGTTGTACAAAAAAATCTAAAGTTTAAGTGACCCAGGTAATCTGGCTGATGAAGAAACTCTTTTTATATTACTTCAGTTACTAGCAGAGAGTAAGACATAGTGCTGTGATAATCGAAGCAAACCCATTCTTGGCACCTGGCCACAGCAGAGCAGCTTGCGCTGCGGTAATAGAATGGCTTCTGCATACGCTGTAGTGGCTTTATTTGAGAAAATAAAGACCTTGCTTTAGGGAAAACAGTCACCTCTAACCAAAAACAAGAAGAGGTTGTTTAAATTAATATAGCGAGTGATTATATGTTATATAAATATAAAGAAATATCAACAACTATCTGTGCTGTATATGCTAATAGAAAATAGTCAATGTGAGTGACAACAGTGTTAGGTGTGAAATAAAAGTAGATTTTTATTTTTTTTTTCAACCTTTGTTTAAGGACAACTTTGTAGTGACAGAACAGATGACTGAATACAGCGTAGTAAGCAAGGTTTGATCTCTTAAGCCCATGTTAATGGAATCTTCTTGTATTGATCCGAAGAGTTTACTATCTTCATGGCTATTATTAAAGCTGTGTTAGGTCACAACATTTAAGAAATGGAAACATTTTTTTTTTCTGTAGAAGCAGATGAAATGTGCTCAAGATGCTGGGAAATGCATTTTCCTCCCTTTAAACACTTCTCTTTTTTTCTTCTGGTATTTTCAAATGCATCCTTGCTTTCTCTCATTGTCCCAGCTCGAAATTGTCTGTTTAGTCTTCTATAGAAAATTGGTCTCATTCTACTTTTTTTCCTTGCCAGCATTTTGAGGAATGTACTTGATGATTGATTCTGTCTGATTTCTTCATTTCATTTCTCTATATGCAAAATATTCTGACTTCTGAGAAATCTTTTTTTTCCCACCTTCATACTTACTTCATGTCTGGTATAACTGTGCATTCATTTTTTCTTCAGTCTGTCTGTTTTGTGATGGTCCATCTCTACCTTTTTTGCATCTTGTGTGGGCTTGAGGGACCAGCGGCAGTGTGTTTTGATAAAGATCGTGTAATGATTTTGTCTTGCCTCGGCTAATTCTGTACCCCCCCTCCAAGTACACATGCAACCCAGGAGAATTCAGGTACTATTCTAGATGCGAGGAAAAGAGGATTGAGGGGACAGTGTCGGAGCACATAGAGCATCCTCCCTGTGACGTGGGAAGGAGAGGGCACAGGGTTGGCCTAATAACAGTTAATGCACGTGTTGCCCCTAGTATGAATTTTTAAGGCTTTAGCAAAAGTCGCTGAAATAGAGAATGAGGAAAAGCTGAAGCAGTTAGTGTGAAAGTGCCAGGAAGGTGCTTCTAGTGGATATGTCTGACCAAGAAATAGCACAACATGAGCAGTGGTTTCAGAATTAGTAACTGTTAATTGGAGCACATTGGCGAGGACGGGGACAGCAAACACTCTAGCTCTTATCCTTACTAAAACCAGGACTAACCAAACTCTGTTGGTTTAGTCAGCTTTTGTGGCTACATCAGACTACTCCTGTGTCTTGGTTATGGATCGTACTTAAGGTCAAGCCTGTTATAAAATGGAACAGAGTTTTAAGAAGATACTCTGATTCGTTTGTACCAATGGGAGGGTCAAAATCTCTGAACATAAAGGCTTACTATAGTTAGGAAAGAGCTGCTTCATCAGGATTTTATATCTATTACCAAAGGAAAAGCATTTGGTACATCGAACTTTTCATTAGCCTCTCATCACATGCAACTGAGTGTTATTTTTTTCTACTTAATGATATTGAAAGACAGTTAAATAAATATAAGTTAAATGAATATATCAGATATTTTTCTGATTTTTTTTTTTTTTTTTTAAGAAAGCAGTTACGGTAGTTTCTAAAAGCTTTTGCTAGCAAATGAAAATAAAACTGAGACTTGAGACAGTGAGTAAAAGATGAAGAATGGAATTTATTAGGAAAGTGTTAATACTTTGTCACAGGAAGTTTTTTGATACTGTGAATTCAGCTGAGTAATTAATATTCTTTCTTAATTGAGTGTAGTGAATTACTCTTCAGACAGATCATGGGGGATGGGCAGTCGAAAGATTCAAGTTTTAAATGCCTGGTTTACTTTAAAAAGTGTACTTATGAGTATACATGCATTTTTTGCTAATTTCAGTTTGTTTTTTGTAGGTAATTGAATGGATCTTCAGAATCAGTGTTGCTGAAACTGACCAAAAAGTAAGTATGTGAGAGTTTGTCATTTTTTACAGAAATACATGTCTGACTTAGTGCTACCCCTGTTTACAGTTAATAAACCCTTTGTCATGTTGATTCTTAACATCTGTAATAATCAATATTTTTATATAGCCTCATAAGTCTATTTCCAGTTAAGTGTTTTTATTTTGTGCAAGTAGATAGTTACGCATTTCTGTTTCTGAATATGTCCTGCTGTTTCTACTTCTTATTGATTTTTTTTTTAATAGCTAGAACTGCCATTGTGAAGGGCAACTTTGAAAAACATAACTCTAACAATTCCTTATCTGTTTTCAATGAGATATAGTTTGTCACCTTTGTAATTATCAGAAAGGTTTCAGCTCCTCAAGTTTATGTTGTCTAACACAGCATGACTAGAATCTCTTATGCAATGCTTTATTTCCACCTGTATTTATTACCAATTTTGACTTTGAAAGTCACCTTTCTCTGGAACGAGGAATTTTTGTGTTGTGCTGGCTCCCAATTTAAAACAAGAAAAATCTGCATGTGAAGAATGCATTTCATTAGTGTATTCAAAACACAGAGCTTTGTACTAACTAATGTGTTGTGTTTTAATGGGTTTCTAGATGGTTGAGATGATGAAATAATTCAATCAAAGTTGCTATATTATATAGAAAGTAGAAATTCTTCAATCTAATAAATAGTTGAAATCTTTTTTTAAAAAAGCCCCCTAATTTTAGCAGAGCAGTATTGAAATTGATATAAGGTATATATAAGCTGGTATTTGCAATGTGCATATATTTCAATAGTGCTGTTTATAGTATCTGTAAGTCCTATAATTATACTGATTATACAGCACTAATTTCCATTTGTTCAATTGTTCTTGCAAATACCGAGAGTTATTTTCACTTCAAGTTCAATAATTACTTTCTATAACTGCATAGACTTAATTTTCAAAGGGCTAATTAAAAAAAAAAAAGGTGTATGTGCGGGGCTTGTGCATAATACATTGTATTGGGAGAAGTCTGGGAACCTTTATTTCTATGCTCACTATCCTTTCATCTATTTGAGTGAGTCTGGTTTTGGCTAATTGGATTTTTATTGTCTTTAGTGGCATATCGAAGAGATGAAATGTGGTCTGAAGGGCGATATGACTATGACAGAGTTCCAAGAGAACGTCTCCCTCCAAGGATTCATCCTGACGTAAGTCTATAGTATATTTGTCTAGCATTATGCCATTATACTATACCTCTATACCATCAGGGCTGGATTTTTGTACGTAGTTAAGTTCCAAGTGTACCCCAAGTTCCATTATTTTCTCATTCATATAAGCCAGCAATCTAGCAAATGCATCTGCAAGAGATAATAGGATGCCTACAAAATTAAATATTGTATTTTTTTTTTCAAATCTGTTGAACATGTTTGAGAATATTTGTATTCTGATAAATTGATTTTTTGGTGTAATTCTTTGTGTTATAAAACACAGGTTTCTTAATAACTTCTGGAGAACCAAAGGCCATATACTATGTTATATTTTCCCCCAGACTTTTTTTTTTCTTTACATTAATACCTGTTTGAGGTGACATGAGATGGTAAAATGACTGGTTTCAGTATTATTCTTGTCACCCATGCAGTTTTTCATTATGATGCTTACAGTATAGAAGGAAGTGTTCATAACAAATGTTGAAAATACATCTTTGCCAAAGAAATTGTGTTTTGGAGCCTTGCAAGGGAAATGCTTTCAAGAAGAGCATTGATGGAAATCTACTTTGTAGACTGGAGAGTTCTATTGTGTTATGCCTGTAAAAGCAAACACAGAAGCTATGCTTACTCTGCTGTGGAATAACTTTAGAATGCTGACAGAAATAAATTCTGTACCAAGGAGTTGGTTAATATTATTTTACTATTTTTTTTTCTTCTGTGTCTGAAGTCTGTAAAGAAGAAAGAAAACAGGTTGTAGCTTTGTTTTTTGAGCTACTACACCTTAAATAGATCTTTAAGATATTTCTATTTACATGCTGTGCGATGTACATTTGGTAAACTAGTATTTGATGTACCTGTGCCTCTTAATTGGCTTTTCTGTTAAATATTTTAAATGTTGGAATAATATCATAGCTGATGTAGTGTACTTTCTGGGTTACCTCTACCATATTTTCAGCTCGTTTTGGAAGTGTACAAGCATTGGTATCTTGGTAACAAGTTACATAGTCTTCTCTAGCGAGCAGCGTATTGGTGTTTGACTGCTCTGTGATGTTTTAAACTCTCTTTACAGGTAACAACAAAATTTCTGCATTTTCAGAAAACTGGAAATCGGAGAAATTTGCACAGGGTATTTATTCAGCTACTTCTCCAAAATACTTATCAGAAATAGGACACAAGGAAAGACAGAATTTATTTTCACAGATTTCTTTTTTTTTAATCAACATTTGACTTGACTAACACATTGCTAATTTAATTTAACCATTGCAACAATGACATTCGTAAATTCTTTTAGTCTTTCAAGCTGTCCAGGGATGAATTCATGGAATATGCATTATAAAAATTTACTTTAAAATTTAAAAGATATGATACACTCATTTTGATGCAAGAATTAACTAGATTATTCAATGCTAACTTCATAGTACATGTGTTTGGAACTGGGGATGAAGGGACTAGCAGAATACACTCATTTATCACAATCAATACTATCCATCTGCACCAAAACAACACCCCTGGTAGCTGGGCAAACCAAAATCTGGTGTCTGTCCGCCTTAGTGAAAGGGTATGAAGCTCCTTCTTGTACAGCTCTGCTGATGCAAGACAGTTGACAGGCAGTTTTTGTCCTTGTAAATCTTTGTCATTGTATCTGTATCTACCTGCAGAGGTCTGACTTAATTTTGAGTAGACAACTAAAATGGAATTAATTTATTCGATCTATGAACATGCTTAGCATCTGCTGATAGGTTAATACCTCGGAACTGCGACTGTTGGTGCATTAGATTGTGACTTCTATTACTATTGAAAAAACTCGTTTGAGTGTCCTTCTCCTCACCTCCAAATTGCACATGCTGACTCAAGTCTCTGCATTTACAGCTTGTGTTTTTAAGAATTGAAAAAATAGAAACATACATAGAAAAAATATCTTGGTAAAGGAAGAAGACTTAAAATACAAGATCTTGCATTCATGCTTTCATTTCCTTTTTGTTTTCAGCTGGCTGAAAAAAAACCTGGATTTGTATGTTTTGCAACTGTGCAATTTGCACTTAATAAACAAAGGATTTCTGTAATAGATAAATGGTGTATGACATTTTATCTGAAGGAAATAAATTAATTTTGCATTCTAGCAAAATGCTATTCAAAAGTTGTATTAAAAGAAAAACTGAGTGTGTTAAAATTGTCTCTGTCACCTGAATCCTCAGATCACCTACTGCATTGTATTGAGAAGGTGTTTATCTATTCAGATTATGAAGCAAGGATTATAATCTCCATAGTGTGGAGGATGTTATTGACATTAAGAAAATTGGTAGTATTTTCAAATGGGCTCTTTGTTTTACAGGCTTACAGATGTAACTTTGTGTATTGAATTCCTAAGTTAACGTAAAAGTCTCTTAGAAGTTGATGTGGCTAATGCTTAAAAAAAGAAAGTAGCTGATGCGTAGAAAGTAGCTAATGCTACTGCTTTAACCTTTCAAAAGGAACTTAAACTATGTTGACAATTTTCCCGTAATAATAAAACTTATAATGCCTAAGAATTGCATCTGAATGGTATCCAATTGGGTTTTATAAGTTATTCCACCATCAGACTGGCATGATTTTTAATGTTTGTTGTCCCCCTGTGCTATTTCAGCTTTAAGATTTTTATAGTCCCATACATTGAAATAACTTGTTTGGTTGGTTTTTTGTTTGTTTTGTTTTTTTTAACTATTGTATATTCACTCAGGCTTCCAGCTGTTAAAAGCAATATGATTTGGGTTGGGTTTTTTTTTGGTTTAGGATGATTACCATAGAGTAGTAAACATTGTGCCCAAGAAACCACCACTGCTGGAGAGACCTGGGGATGGGAATTACAGTCGGTATGATGATTACGGTCACGCTGAGTACAGAGACTATGAAGAGGGTCGCAGTTTCTCCCATGAGCGAAGAAGTGGCCCTCCACACCGAGGTGTACGTAAGGTGATTCTTCTCACATTTTTATGACTTTTATCTTCTTATTGCTGCTTGAATACTGAACAATTCAAGTATTATTTCAGACAGAACATTGCTCTTGCTGCTGTTCTCATGAACTGAAATAGAATGAATAGAAAAAGGTTTTCATACTTGCTGCTTTTTTGCACTTACTGTGCTTCTAAGACTTGTGATTTATGGCAATACCTGTTTGCTGCTTCTTATGGTTCGTGGCTACTCTGTTGACTTAGAAAAGGGCCCTTGTCCAGCTCTGTGGAAAGCTTAGAGTCTGAACTGGAAAAACAGAAGTGGCCAGAAGTCCTCTGTATGAATAGAAGAATGATTGCAAAATCTTTCTGTTTAACAAGTCCTTGCACATGCAATTTGTTGAATGTTGTCTGCCTATCCTTCTAATTCACGCAGTTATTTACTGATTTAAATTCTGTTGTGATATTGAATGCATTTTTTTTTCTGAGTAGCTACACTTAAATACAAAATTTATGCTCCTTTTGAAAGGTCATTACTGCTGCTTCCTCCAACCCAGCTGTTTGAAATTCTGTTATTTCAAGCTGGTGATGATAATGTACATTTCAATGAGGAAAAATTCCTTTTTTTTAAGTCAGGGCCCCTGTATATAGTTTGGAAATTTTTGTAGGTTTTGTGTTTTGTGCAGCATTTCAAAGTTGCTCTCTTTAGTATTATTAGAGGAAGAAAATAAGAGGAATGTGGTAAAGCGAATAAACTGAGAGGAACTTTGCTGTGAGTGTTTAATAGTTTCTTTTAGCTCATTAAAATGCTTTGGTTTTGCTGTGAATAAGTACCATTTGGCAACTAACTGTTGAGATACACATCACACAATTGTTTTGCATGTATGTTTTGCAGGATGAATCAGGATACAGATGGTCAAGGGACGATCATCCGATAAGTCGGCAGCCTGAGTACAGGTACTTTATAAGGATTTAAGTAGTGCCATGCATAGGCTGGGATTCTTTAGGGAATTTCTCTTTCTTACCAAAACAGTCTTTAGAACTGAGCAATGAAATGACAGGAACGTGGGGAAGGGCATCTGTTGAAGTAAAACATGATAGTGCAAAAGTGGTTTCTGGTTGTATTGTTTGAAGGGCAAATTAAATAAACGGTATGCCGTGAAAGTCTGTATTTTAGTATTTGTTTAGTAAGGATAGGAAAAATAATGATAGCATCTTCAGGATGCTGGCCTGGGACTGTAAGTAATTTAGTGCATCTCCCTAATCAGTCGCACTTTTTATATGACTTCAGAGGATTCCTTGGCCTAATTCTGCAGTGACAGAAGCAAATACCTTGGGGCGACAATACAGTGGAATGTCACCTGTGCCATTTTAAAGGTTGCTGGGGTGGATAATGGGATTGTGAAATTTAGTGTAGCCTTGTTCTGACCTCAGCTGGACTGAGGAATTGGTATTTCTATCACAGATTATATTCATTTCTGTGAGCGCTTTTTAGTCTGTAGCACACAGATGCCTGCAGTGATGTTTGATATGATATTATTTGCTGTGATAAATAAAGTGCACGGGATAGTGTTACACTCAAATTTTTTTGGACAAGGATGAAACTCACCTTAAATATTCAGACAAGAATTAATTGTTAGTATGACTGAAATATTAACAGTCTAATCTAAGAATGTAATCTCATGGCTGTACTTCAAAATGCAACATTCTGTGTTTCCACTTCTCAAGGTGCCTGCTTTTCTACCAGGCTTGTGTTTCTGTATACTGCATCATGGTGTTAGTCACAAATATATCATTCTACATAGAATAACTCATTGTTACTGCAATCTGTATAAAACTATGCCTTTATCAGACAAAGATCAACAAAAATAAACCAAGTTAGCTACAGACACCTTGTCAGCTAGACAAATTGCTGTTAAAACTGCACCGACTTAAAAAAAAATAGAATTTCAGGCAGGTCAAGAAAAGCTCAGAGCAAGCCTGACAAGTGAAGCCTAGGTCTTGAGGCCTTGCAAACTCAATATTAAGTTGTTGGTAGCAATGGCAATAAACTGCTACAGGGCTGCACAGTTGCAGGAAGTATCTATTCGTTTGAATGTGATGATTTAGATGCAGCGTAAGTGGGTTACTAGATGACTTCACCATAAAAAAAAAAAAAAGAAATCCTTCATATACCATAATGGTCTGTGTGTGCTAGACTTCTCTCAAAATTACATTCTTGGGGCTAGAAGCAATAGTAAAGAGTTTTGGAAAATACTAAGTGCTTTATAGAAACTTCTGCAAAATTCTTGCATCTTTTTCTCCCCTTTTAGAAGAATCAGAGTTGATTAAAGCTGAAAAAAAACCAAGACTGAGAAGACTGAGTGTCAGGCAGTTTATTTTACGCAGAACAAGAGTGGCACCCAGTGGTCAAAAAGATTGTCTTAAATGCTTCCTTAAATGCATCCCGGTTTCTTCCACTTAAACTGTGTGGATAAAATGTCAGCTTGTTTTGTTGAAAGCTTTAAAAGTGTGTTGTGTGATAGGTGACAGTTCCGTCTGAGTCTTTAGTATATATTTCAGAATATGTAACTGTTACATGGCTACAATAATGGTATGAAAGAAATTAATAAAGATACTTGGTTCAGTTGATGGTACGGGAATGTATTTGTGATTGAATGAAGCCCTACTGATTTATTATAAAAATAAGTGTTAGCATGTCAGAAGTCTGATTGTTCAGAAGAGCACAGGAATAGTAAATAACCTGTAAAATCATAGAATACAATCATAGAATTGTCTAGGTTGGAAGGGACCTTTAAGATCATCTAGTTCAACCATCAACCTAACTCTGACCAAAACAAACCACATCACTAAACCATGTCTCTAAGCACTATGTCAACCCGTCTTTTGCATACCTGCAGGGATGGTGCCTCAACCACTTCCCTCGGCAGCCCATTCCAATGCTTAATAACCCTTCCAGTGTAAAAATTTTTCCTAATATCCAGTCTGAACCTCCCCTGGCGAAACTTGAGGCCGTTCCCTCTTGTCCTATCACCTGTGACTTGGGAGAAGAGACCAATCCCTGCTTCTCTGCAACCTCCTTTCAGGTTGTTTTAGAGAGCGATAAGGTCTCCCCTCAGTCTCCTCTTCCCCAGACTGAACAACCCCAGCTCCCTCAGCCTCTCCTCATAAGACTTACTCTCCAGACCCCTCACCAGCTTCATTGCCCTCCTCTGGACCCGCTCCAGCACCTCAATGTCTTTTTTGTGGTAAGGGGCCCAAAACTGGACACAGTACTTGAGGTGAGGCCTCACCAGTGCCGAGTACAGGGGGATGATCACCTCTCGGGCCCTACTCACCACACTGTTCCTGATACAGGCCGGGATACCATTGGCCACCTGGGCACACTGCTGGCTCATGTTTAGCCGACAGTCGACCAACACCCCATGGTCCTTTTCTGCCTGGCAGCTCTCCAGCCATTCATCCCCAAGCCTGTAGTGCTGCATGGGGTTGTCATGACCCAAGTGCAGGACCTGGCACTTGGCCTTATTGAACCTCATCCTGTTGGTCTCAGCCCATTGGTCCAGCCTGTCCAGATCCCTCTGCAAAGCCTCTCTACCCTCCAGCAGGTCAACACTGCCACCCAGCTTGGTGTCATCTGTGAACTTGCTGAGGGTGCACTCCATCCCCTTGTCCAGATCATTGATAAAGATGTTAAAGAGAATCGGCCCCAATACCAAGCCCTGTGGGACACCACTCGTGACCGGCCGCTGACTGGATTTAACTCCATTCACCACCACTCTCTGGACCCGGCCCTCCAGCCAGTTTTCAACCCAGCGGAGGGTATTCCCATCCAAGCCATGGGCAGCCAGGTTCTCCAGGAGGATACTGTGGGAGACTGTATCAAAGTCTAGATAAACAACATCCACAGCCTTTCCTTCATCCAGCAAGCGGGTCACTTTGTCATAGAAGGAGATCAGGTTTGTCAAGCAGGACCTGCCCCTTGTGAACCCATGCTGGCTGGGCTGGTCACCTGAGCGTCCTTCATATACTGCATAATGGCAGTCAGGATGATCTGTTCCATGACCTTCCCAGGCACCGAGGTCAGACTGACAGGCCTGTAGTTCCCCGGATCATCCTTCCAACCCTTCTTGTGGATGGACAAATCCTGTGATCAGACTGCTAAAAGCTTGTAGCATTGCGTGGTTGGTAATAAACTTTATTTTTTGCATATTGCTCGCTATTGAGCTATGTAGTAGATCTCAACAGAGGAAATCAAAGTACAATAGTTGGTATATGTTGTCTCCTGTAGTCAGAATGCTAATTACTTTCCATTTCAAAGACATTTACACTAAAAAGCATGAGATTAAAAAATGATCATATGCGAAAATGCTTTCTCTTTGACGTGGTGAACATTATTTTGGGTAAGTTCTTCTGGACTACATGTAAATTTTTAAATTTTTTTCTTTGAGGTAGTAGAAGGAGATTTAAGATTACTTTAACCAGAAGTACTTTTTAAAAAATTGCATGGAATGTGGCTAAAACATAATACAAAGCTAGATTTGTGAACCTAAAGACACTCGGGAGACTTGTAAAGCTAATGGGGTTTTGTATTCAGTATAGTGACTATAAATTCTAAATAGAATAGCTCTTTTATTGACATAAACAATCCATTTTCTTGAGCAGTTTTACTCATTCAGCAGCTAAAAATGTGCTGTAAGAAGTTGTTGTCAATATTATGTTGAACATTTCCTCTTAAGCATTCACATTTTCCTGCTTTGATTTCTGGCAGCTTAACTGTTGAAAAGGAGTTTCTGCTCTCTTATGCTTTCCATTTTTCTTCCATTTTTTCTATTTTTCTTCTTTTTAATTTTACATTTTTTTTCCATTCCATTTTTCTTCTTCTTCTTCTATCTTTTTTTGGAGTCCTGAAAAACACTACTTAAGATTCTCCCAAAATAAAAGCAGCTGCTTATCTGGAATATGAAAAATCCTGACATGGTACAGAATTTTGGGGGTGAAAGTTTCCTATGTTGAAGAAACCATCTGTTAGGTTCTTGGAGTGGTTTTGTTTGTTTGTTGTTTTGTTGTGGCTTCCTTTGTGGATTATTTAAGCTATTGCCTTTTCCTTAAAAATAGGAAGTACATGCTTACTTAGCAGTTGCATAGCTGCAGCAATTCCCCAATGGATGACAAGAGGATTGTTGAGGTTCTACCACTTGGCTTAATTGTTTTATTTTTTTTTCTTGCCTTCGTTCTTCTTACGGAGTTATGCTCCAGTTTCCAAGCAGCTGTCATTTGCCGATAGTCTACCCTTGAGCGGAGCATTACTGGTCCTTCTACCCTTTCCTTGGACCACTCAAGAATTGAGAGTTGTTGGCCATGTTTTATACTATGTTCAGCGAACAGCTCTCATCCTGACCACGACTTCTTTATGGCAGTGTCATTTTTAATATGTAAAAAATGAAGTAATTAAGAGGATGTGCTGGGCATAGACTTCAAAATTACTTCCCAGCCCTTTTTCTCTTGTTCTGACCTAAGGGATTCTTGCTGGATTTCTGAACTACAGGATCTAATGTGAGTTGTGTAGCCTTACAGTCATAGCTTGGTTTGAAGTGCCTCCTGGTTCAAGCCTTTTTGGCATGTATAAAGAATTGTACATCAAAGCAGAATCTCCTAGTTTGGAGAACAGAGAGTTTTCTGCATGCATGATGACATTTTTAGTGTCTTGGTCGCTGATGCTCTGAGAATTGTGAAACTTGGAAATTATGAGAAGAGTAAGGATCAAATAATACATGACTTCTTTATATGTTTATCTTTTGCTGATGTTGATCACTTCTGAGGCTGTGTTATTACTTGTCTTCAGTGATATATCAAACTCATTTATTCAAAGCAGTTGAATTATACTGTGCGTGTCAGTTTTTTTGAAAAGTTGCAGGGAACTGCTGTATGTTGAAGAACTCCAATTTTGCAGTACT